TCCTTTAAGACTAAAGTCTTCCAAATCCCCGCGACCGAAGCTCAGTACTCTGAAATTTACACCATCTTGTGCAGCATGTTTAATATCTGAAAACTCTGCAAAGGAACCCGGTATTAGTTGAAAGATATCTTGATGATATAAACGCAACTTGTACGAGAACGCTTCTTTTAACTTGGGTCCAACGGCTACAACGAGGTCAGCATTTTGACAAAGTTCAACTTCAGCTGTGTTCTTCTCTTCTCCCTTGGCAATGGCACTTGGATAGTTCTTATGCATCGCCAGCTCTTCAGGCTCAGTGTGAACAACCTGCACCCAATTGCATTGATGAGATTTTCTGATAATTTGCGCTTGTTTGCCAAGCTTTGCTCCATGGCCGATGACAACCTGAATGTCAAGGTCCTCTGGTGGAACGATCAACCAATCAAGAGGATCACTGAAGCCAGGAAGATGCCCTGCTTCTATAATGGAGATGTTGTAACTTTTGGCCTCTCTCTTGTCTTTTTCTCCACACTCAAATTCAGGTACAAGAATGGTCACTTCTACATGTGGGTCTTTTGCCAAATGTATGGCAAGAGTTCTGTTTATTGTTGACAAACCACCCCTAGACGACCCCCATTCGTTCGCCAGGAGAGTAACTTTCAATATTAAACGTTCTGAATGACCTTGTTCAGCATCAGATGATGATGATGCTGGTGGTGGTGATGATGGAGTACACACGTCCTGTACAGAAACCAAAATTGCATATTTTAAAATAGAAAGTGTACACCTGGGGTGTTTATCGTTTTGAAAGAAAGTTTGCAAAACACGTTATCATCCAGTTAGAAGCTATAAACTTATCGTTTAACTGTAAAGCAAACAGCTTATTAAGAAAGACTTGAGAAACGGTTATGAATACCCACTGCTACGGCTGCAGTAGGTATTTAACAACAGAGTTGATGATGTTAATTGGCCACTGCAAAGAGATTCTCAGTTCAAGGGTAGCCATTTGTCTGGCAAAGTGCTAAAATAACTTGAATAGAATTTTGAGTCATATATGGTAACCAACTGACCTTATCAAATTACTTGATTTAAAGAACTATTGCTTGCTTCTTTTTACCCAGCGAGACACTTGTGGTAGGTTAAATGAAGGCTTACGTTATACATCATTATAACCTAATAACGACACACACAAACTTTGTTGAAGCTTTTTAAGTATAAATAAATGACTAGCCTTTTAGTAGCATAATATCAATTTAGTAGTAATATGCCGTAAAAGTCGGAAAATAAACTCCCAAGCTTATATTTTCCAAAGGCCCTTTTTTGAGGGGCTTACATACGAAGGGAAATGGGAGGGACATTTGCGTCTCAAAATCGATTGGGCTAGATTATAGTTGGAAATAAATTTATGTCAGTAAAATGCCCGAAGGTTTTACTGAAACTCGACATGGGGACCAAGGTCTTTCTAAAACTCAACCATGCGAGTACTTTGGCTATATGGATCGAAGAAATTCAATCCAAGAGTGAAGAGTGAACTACGCAAACAGCATTTAAGTGTGACACTTCTTGATTGCAATCATTTGGCACGAGGAATAGTTCTTTGGCAAATTAAAAACATTATGTGTTACTGTACCGTTTTTAATTTGTTTTATTTTGTATTTGAGGGCAATTTCAAAGTACAAGCCCTCGGGGGCTTATATTCGGGAGCGGCGATTTAATGGAGGGTTTTAACTACGAGTTTGGGGGATTATATTTGGAGGGGCTTACTTTCGGAATTTTAGTTAACATTCCACTTATATGTAACATGCCAACAGCACTGATAGAGATGGGATTTCAGTGCTACCTACCTTACTTGGTGTCTGTGAGAACCATTTTTGCTTTCCTATGACTGTGAGTACTTCATCTGTAGGTTTCTTTTCGCAAGTCAGATGAACGCCTTGTTTTACCTCAAGGAGGTGAAGACAATCTTCATGAGAACATGCAATCTGATTATGGCTAGAGCATTTTTCCCGCTGACAATACGGACAGGCGACCCGAATATGATACTGCAATCCACCTTTATAAAGATCGCGTGACAAAGCTTCCAAAGTTGCCTCCACAAACTCACGAACCTGTACTGCCATCTCACTTGTCTCATACACAGGGATCTGCTGAGGGTGGTTTCTTTGCTTGATAAAGAACTTAATAAACTGCTTCTTACAAATAAGAACAAAATCATGGACAGTTTGTTTCCCAATAACGAACCACGCTCCATTTTGGTACAGGGTAGGGGGCTGAGTTGGACCAGCCTCAGAACACCAATGGACAGAGCGAGAAACAAGCCGAGTGAACAGACCATGGGGAACAGAGCCGCTGACAAAGTAAACATACAGGGGACATGAGTCCAGCCTAGAGGGCGCCATGGAACAAAGAGAATCAGGCGAAGCTTTGAGTTGAGATGGAACAAAGTACTGTTCTCCTGTCTTTGAAGACGAAAATTTTGCAATCAATCCAAATTGTTCCATCAAATCCAGAATGTCTTTTCTGGCAACACCCTTCAGGAGGAATTTGGAAAACACAAGATCAACCAGTTCCATGCAGAGAACACCGCTTTTTTCAACTTCCTTCCAGTGCTTGGCAACCTTAGGAACCTAAAAAGGAATAAAGCGAAGGACAAAAACAAAACTGTTTTAATAATAATAATAATAATAATAATAATAATAATAATAATAATAATAATGATGATAAATACATATATGCACATAAACATGATGCACGATACATATTTGAAAAGGTGGACCGCGAGGTTATCCCTATAAAAGATCCCCTAACTGAACTTTAGTAAAAATATTAAAAAATTAAAAAACGCGCGTAAAAATCATTAGTGGAGGTACAAATTGGTATATTAAGTATGATATTTAAAATGAAAATATATACAATTAGAATATGAGCTACAGTGTCACTAAATCTTCATCCATCTTTTACAGCCTTTTTTAAATTTGTTAACGTTAATTTCGTCTGTGAAGAGATGGTTCGGCAAACTGTTCCAGTCTTTGACAATTTCCACAAAGAAGGAGTACTTAAAGGAGTTAACTTTAGCTAATTTAGTTTGTATTTTGTATTTTAAAATAGTGTTATTGTAGGAACATATTAAGCTACTTAATTGCTGCAATTATAAATCGTTGGTTATTTTATTTAATGTTTTAAGTAAACAAACAAAGAAAAAGATCTAGAGTTTTCCGTTTTCGTGTGTGGAAGGATAGAAAATAAAAGTTTCGTAGTCTGCCTAGAAAGTACTACTGTGTGGATAAAAGAAAAGAGGATAGCCTTTTAAGCAGTCCTCCGTTTGGTTCGTTACACAATTCTTTCCATTCTGTGGGAAGATTTACGAAGTCAAGTTTTCTTTCCTTTACAACAGTCTACCACAACCTCGCGCGCTAAGGGAAAACAATAGAAATGTGGTTGTGGTGGTGAATAGAAACAACAGAAATGTGAAAAAGGAAAAAAGGGATGTGGGAAAGTGAAAAATTGTTTTTCGTGATAGGAAGGGCTAGTTTGCCTTGGTGCTCATTACATATTCACGTTTTGTGCGCGCCAGGAAACAATAAACCGCAACAACTTGGAACAACTTGTTGAACAATGAGAGCGGTTTGAAATGTAACTTGCATAACGTAAACTACGTTACGAATCAGTGATTTTCAGTCAAGACGAGTTAATTAGCGCTTATTCCTTCGACAACTTCAATCAACCAATGAATACTTTCCCTAGTTCTTACATGTAGTCAACCAATCAAAAAACAAGACCTTCATCTACCAAGAAATAACTGGAAAACCGGTCCAACAAGTTGAAAATAGCAGACGAGATTATTTTAGGGCCTGTTTACACGGAGTTAGGGGACCCCAAGCAAGTGAGGTAACCCGCGTAGGTGGGATAGTAACCCGCCTGTCCAAATAACCTCTCATTTTAATTTGATCACGTTCAAATGATAGGTTGGGTGACCAGCCGCGGGTTACCTCACCTACCTGGGGTCCCCACCTCCATGTAAACAGCCTTTAAAGAGGTTCAACCGCATTTTATTCATGAGATAAAGACAAAGAGTTATGACGTCATAGGCGTTTACGTATTCCAGCGAAGATTCCACAGCAAAAAAGGCTGATTCTGTCCCTAATATACCACTGGGGGTAAACTAGGAGTGGCCCCTTATTTTCCTCTGGGATATTTGAGCGAGCAAAATACAGGAGCGTTTGTCACCTTCTTAGCGGCAATTTTCACGCGCGCTCGCCTAATCCTCTCGTTCTACCATCCCTGAGGAAAATGAGAGACTACTTGTCACCTATTTGGGGAGGGTTGCTTGACGAGCCAAAAGGACCTCAGCGTAGGAGACAATACTGCTTGGTACAAGCTACACTCCTTTTTTTGTGTAGGTTGAGCAGTGTTATAAATGTTTCGAAATTGGCTCCGCGCGTGTGCATCAGTAAGGGCGGTGAAAACAGGCTTCCTTTATATATACGTATAGGTAATCACATGATTTAGAGTGCAATTTGGAATAAATAAGCACGAGTAAATTTTTCAAAGACCAACAAAAGTGCACGAGCCCGCAGGGCGAGTGCACTTTACGGTCTTTGAAAAATTTACAAGTGCTTATTCATTCCAAATTGCACGAGAAAAATCATGTGATTACTGATTAATAATGTGCACGAAAAACATACCTACAACAACAAGTTTTGACAGCGCGCTCGTTTTTAGTTCATTCAACAGATTGGCTGAAACAGACTACTACCTTTGTCAAATTCAAACTTTTTCAAGACCAACGCTCCCAATATCATTCAGCTAAGAACTTGAAAATGTGCAAAGACTGATTTTATATGGTCACCAGCCTGTTAAAGATAACTTGGTTTATAATTATCAGCAAAAGTAATTGTTTTTAAATTCATCCTCGATTATGAGAGCTCGGCGTTTACAAAAAGCGTTTTCAAGAAATATGCTGCCGTTTTGAAATCAGGAGAACGCTTCGAGCAGCCAAAGATGAAAGACACTTGCTAACGTTTTTTTAACGACTGTTCATCATTATCTGTTCCTGAGACCCCATCATAGCTGGATTCATGGATAAATTTTTGAGATTTAAAGCCCGAAAATGAAGGAGGTAATTTGTTTTCTTCCGACGCTGCCATCGATGGGTGAGTGGAGCCACAGTTGTTCTGATGTCTTGCACAATAATTCGCAAACTGTTTTCTCACTTTCTTTAAGGCTAGTACCACCTACGGATACTTTCATTATGTTGGTTACGGTATTTTCGCCCATTGGTTTATTTTTGACCAGATGTTTAAATTTTCGCTTTCGTTTGCTACTGAGGTAGAAAAAAACAGACCATCGCATGGAGAAGTCTTCGCTCCACAAAAGACTCAAAGAGAGCAACCGGACACCTTTCTCCTCCAACAAAGAACGTACGTGACTTGAAATCCCTGTTGTTATCATGGAAAACTTGTATCCTTGTTCATTTAAATGCTTGAAAAGTGTAGCTGTCATGGTTTGCGTGTGGTTGCCACCGTTTCTGTTCTTTATTTTTTTTACTTTAGCGTAATCTGTTATAAGTAGCTTGTTTTTTAGTTTCTCTGGCTCATTTTGCTCGATTTTGTTGACAGTATTTTTATCTTAGCACCGCATTTTCGATACATTTAGCCAGAAAGACGTACTTTTTACTGTGTTCGGGTTTGTCGAATATTTTTTTCACTTTTCTATTGTTGTTTTGCGTCGTCTGCTGAAAACCATGGCCATTTTCTTAAATTTTGTTGTTAAAACAGCTCTAATCTGATTGGTTCTTGGTCATGTCTTGGTGGTTTCTTTTGTGTTTCAGCCAATGAGAAACCATTTGTAATTTACACTCGTGTTACAAGTTTTTGCAATCGTGTTACAAGTTTGCACTCGTGTTACAGAAGAAACGCACTCCTTTCTCAGCCAATCAGAATTGAGTATTTTTTTCGTGTATATTTTAAACATGTATTTCCACTCTGTTTGGTTGTCCAATTACTTTGAGCCTACATAAAGGGTAAATTGCAAGTAAATTGGTTATAAGCTCCTCTTATTGTTAGCGGGTACCTCGTGATGTCACCTGATGTCCTTCGAAATTGAAACAAGAATCCTCTTGGGATATTACAACGTTCAAATAAGAAAGTGCAGTGAAAATGTTTCATTGTAATGTTTACTCTTAGTGACGTCAGTATAGCGGGTTGATTACAGGGATGACTGCCGACCAGGCGTTAGTACTAATTCAGTTGTTATAGGTTTGGTCGGGTAAGATTTCATTTCAGAATTACATCGCCTACACTAACTGTTTTACACTGGGGGAAATATTAAATAGCAGCCCAATCCACCAGGATTTTGCTGTTTACAAATATTTGAGGAACAGCTAACATTTTCAAAAAGATAGCGTGCAATGCACTTGACATAATTATTTTTATTAGCTACAGCACGGTTGGAAACCTGTGACTTCATCCAAAATGTGGACCATTATAAACCTTGCACGTTTTAAAACACGTTTAAAATCCATTTCTTACCATTTTCGTAAAATCTGGAATAGTGATCAGCTGCCCGAACAAGTTTATCAGCCACTGGGTACTCAAGATGACTGTACTACGGTGCTTGATAATTATCCCCAGGTCATGATAGAAATTCACCATAGTGGTAAACTCTTCCTCATCATCGATGAAGCACTTCTCCTTGGCATGGGTCCGTAGCTTCGTTATACTCAGGTAATAAACTGGCTTGGGCTTGGAAAGTAGAGCGTTGATGACTTTCTCAAAGTTCAGCCACCTAGTTTACAAAACCAAAGAGAAAATTGATACAGCTCTTTTAAGTATCCACGTCACATATACACAGTATACTTTTACTGACTAAAGTACAGGGCCCAGTTGTGCGAAAGGTGGATAACTCTATCCACTTGATAAATACATGGGTATCTGTCCAAAATCCAGTGGAAAGTTCCATAAGGTTTCCTAATATTTTCCAGCTTAATAGTGATTCATCGTTTGAACAACCGTGGCCATCCAGAAGCATACTGTTGTGAAGTATTTTGAAAGTTATTTTCAAGACGGATCTATCTTATTTTTAAGTTTAGTTTTTGTTTCGTTAATTCTTGATTTTGTCCACGCACTGTTTTCCTGTTTTGATCTTTTGTTTTTACTTGTAGTTGAAGTTATGCTTAGCTCGCGAATTTACTTATTGCCATATTAGGAATGCTACAGGTGGTCGTGTTTGTGGTGTTAGAGCTGACCTTGGTTCTTTGGTATATTCCCTAACCATAGCAAACCTGTTGCAGTATTAGCGATAAGAAATACAATAGAAACTCTTCCGGTCAGCTAACCCAAACATGTCCAGCTTTGGCTATTAAAACCGCTACTATACTTGAACTAGAGGTTAATAGAGAAGAGTAGGAGAAGTAGAGGAGTAGTAGAGTAAGCAGAAGTTGTAAGAAGATTAAGAAGAATAAAGGCCAAGATGTAAATCAGATTCCTGGTACCTCATCGTGTAGCGAGCGAGTTACTCGAACACACCCCCACAATACACACGTTCCAAAACAATTTACAAGACTGCTGACATGTGAAAAGCCGTGAAGATTTTATATTGGTTAGTACTGATTGTCTTTCTAAACTTAAAATGAGATCAATTTAAGCTTAAATAAGCTTAACTAATACAGCTGGTCATATTCTAAATGGTTACCATGTGCAGTTATGCAGTTAACTACAGATTGAACGGGTAAGTGATCCACTTTCCTTTACCTTTTTTAATCGAAAATCAAAATGTACACAATGCTTTTCAGCTAATTCGAAATAAGATTGTAAAATCCTTCAGAGTAGAATATTCCTTAAGGCCAGTCAAAACTGCTTTTCACGGTTAACTTGTTTTAATCAACGAGACATTGATTTCTTATGACAGCCAGGTGGCTCATACGGAAGCCACTGATTATTTTGTGTTCTTGCTATAATTTTTTTAACCAAAGTAAAGGACTACAATGAACCAGCCTTGAGATGTTTTCCGGCCACGCTTTTATGTAGCGTCACAGTCAATGAGTTACTTATGAAACCTGAAACACATTACATATCAAAGAAAACATCTTACAAGGACTGGTGGAAACAAACGCCATACACATAAACCGTAATCTCAGTGCGTTTACAGCTCAACTTTTGACATGGAAATTATTTAATATTTACTTTATTGGATTCTGAACATTCTGGTGTAACCAGAATATTTTTTACCTCACAGGTCTGCTCTCCCCAATGTAAGGCTCTTGTCTCAGCACTTCCATGATTTTGACTTGTAGAGCATGGATCTCATCAATGTTTTCATCTTTCCCGAAAACTTTATTCTTGATCTTTCTTTGAGTTAATTTTGCAGTGTTGTCAATGCTGAAGATAGGCCGCACCACATGTCCTTCATAGTCCTTACCAGCGATTGCGTTCTGGATTTCTGTTTTCATTGTTTCAATGTCTTCAAATGGCTTGTCTGCATGGGTTCCTACAATGATCACTGGGGGGCGCAAATAATGAGGCACCTCTTTCGCTTCATTATCACAGGTTTTTCTTCTCATCTGTGCGACGCTATGCACTGTGGACAGCCACGACAACAAGTTCTCAAGATTTGTTTCTCCATTTGGGTTTTCCAAATGAACATTACGAGATCCTTGTCTCACACAGGGCTTGGCTGTGTCATGCAGTGACTTGCTGAGGTTGCACACCAAGATGTACAGCGCACGTGGTGATAAAAATACAGGATGGGATGCATAATACAGGTGCTGTCCAGCAAAATCCCACAGTTCAATACTGACAACAGATTCTTCAGGCTTAAAATCTTCACCTTGTATTTCCTTTATTAACTGAACTGCTCGCTCCTTGATCTCCTCTGAAGGTGAAGTAGTATCAACAACTAACTCATGATCAGATCCTGTTAATGTGAGTTCACTAACACTTTCTTCGTTTGGATCACCAACCTGTAGCAGAGTACGAAAAAATAACTGTTGATTCTGATTCTGAAAGACTTAACATGGCTGGTTCGACTTTTGGGGGTGAAGAGGAATAATGGTGTAAGATTAACGGCTTTTTTAGTTGTAAGAATGGAATAATGCCATTTTGTGGCGCGGAATGATGGAATAAGCAGACGTTTTCAACGGAATATTTCTTTTTCTGGAATAATGGCATAAGGAAAATTTTCCAGCTGGAATAATGGAGTAATAAACACCTAATTATTCCTCTTCACCCTTCGATTCGATTATTCAGCCCGATTAATAAGCTCAAACATTGAGGAACGACGGATATGATTATTGGAGGCATGAGGTTTCCAAAACATTAATATGCTCTTGCACTTTTTTAAGGAACAGTGAGTTTAAGGACGCATAGGAAATGATGTTTGATTGAGTCTTGCCAGCCCCTTGGCTTTACTACTGGCATAAAAAAAATAAATCAATAGCGAAATACAACAACAACAAAATAAGGGAAAGCTATGCTCAAGGCCTAATTAACACTTAAAAGTATAAATAAAGATATGGCTAAACTCACTTTGGTTGCACACGCACTACTAACCCAAAAGCTTAGCTTACGTGTAGATGGGTACAATCATGGAAATATAACTAAATGGTTGATAGTAGTATCCTTCTACTCACGGAACTAAACTTACAAGTATAAAAACGCTGGTTAAAATTTTTAACCAGCTTTGGAAAACGAGCTAGAAAACGATCTGGCAGTTGTTACATGCATATTTTCCATACGGAGACTGTGGCAAAGGGCAGGGGCACTATAACCTAACTTATGAAGAAGGCGATAATCAGTTTATAATAACTACTGTTAGGACGTTCTTGCAGTAAGTAAAGGATGGATTCACGAAAAAACATCACTATTCAAAACCAACAAGGACAAACCTGGTTCACAAGAGAAACTTCCTCCTTTTCTCCATTAGTATCAACCTGTTTCCTATTCTTGTTATCATCACTTTGAAGTATTCCTTCACCTATTAACTCCGCCCAAATGTCGTTAGTATACATCTTTTCCACCACCATCTGTGCCACATCTCTGGAACATCCCAGCAATCCTTGTTTTCTCTCATCAATAGGTTGCCAATTCCTGACTTCACCAACGTCCAGCTGAAATTTTGAAGGATCCACTTCAATTCCATCCGTGCTTTTTTCTTTTGAATTAAATGGTAGACCGATGAGAGACTTCTTTAAACTTGTTTTTCCTGCCCGATCCTGCCCAATAAGCAATACTCGACCACGGTAAACATTAACAGCTCCATATTTAAGAGCACTTTGATAAGCGAGCTGTGCTTTTTCTCCGCGTGCTTCTTTTTCTAAAGGAACTAGTGAAAAAAAAAAAGAATGCTTATTGAAGGAAAGTAATGTCTGAGTAGTTCATTGCCTTCTATTTTACTTGACGGACCTAGGAGGGTCATAGAGGGCTATATCAGTGTTTATTGTCCTTCTTGTGATCTTTCAGTACGGTTTCTTAAGCAGTGTTAAGTTATTAAAACAAATCTATGGTAAACATAATTTTACTGAATTTCAAATGTGAGAGATAAACTTAAATGTTGGTTATTTTTGATACTGTTAAACAATTCACCTGCTATTTTAAACTTGTTTTTTTTTTACTGCGCTTACTTCAAGTCTCCATGCATGTTCAAAACGCCATGAATGGTGCGTAAAAATTAGTGTTGTGTTTTGCGTCACCAGAATTATAACTGTTGTTTGCATTCATGTGAAATACCTGTCTCTCTAAAAGAAACAATTATTCTGAACATCAACGAACTAACTTCGTTCTAATAAGCGCCCACTCTCTAATAAGCACCCCTATTGCATAAGCACCCTTGTTCCAGCCCGGGAGGGGGGGGGGGGGGTGGGGGGGGGGGGGGGGGGGGTACTTGGGTTAATTTTTGTTGGGTATGGGTATGTGCCGCTGGCCTCTCAAAACCCCGACCCCATTATAGTCTATACTGTGGCGATATTATAGACCCCATCTTAGTCACTTTTGCAAAAAAGTAATTTTCGCAATCCCAACTTAGTGACTTTCTGCTTACTCATCTACCTTCTAAGGCCTTTTAACTAGAACATCCTAAAATGATTTGCCACATTTTTGTTAAACTTGGTGTGATGTAAATCTTTCTATTTTTAAATCCTTACATACCTGAATTTTCTGACCCCCAAAATCTTAAAAATGTGCGATCCCGTTCCAGTAACTCTTATAAAAATGTAACCCCATAATAGTCAATCCAGTCGTGAAAATGCGGCCCAATCCAGCAGCACATACCCATTAGCCTACTACTAAGAAGTACCCCCCACCCGGGCATTCAAAGCGCCCCAATACCAATAAGCGCCGCTATTCAATCACGGACTATTGTTCCATCCTATCGCGACAAGGTTGACCCTAACTCACGCAACCCGAGTGAACGGCCGCGAACGCTCTCGATTGTTAAAATCAACAAAGGGCCTACAGCACCAAAAATAGTGCCAAAGTGTATGGTTTTGAATGCCCGGTGCCTGGCAAAACCTGATGCAGTTCCGGCTCTTTATGCTGAGCTTAGTATTTCCTCGAATAATAGCCGGCGGCGATGGCTATTGTTTTCCAACAAAAAGGAGTCGATTAATTAAGGGGGCGATTAATTCAAATATTGCTCACTGGAGGTCGTGCCCTAAATATTTTGTTTTATTATTCCATTAAACCGAAAATTGATAACATCAAGTAAACAGAACATGGGCTGAGGGGAGGGGGTGGGCGATTATTGGAGGGAGGCGATTATTTTAAACATTTCGGTCTAAGGAGGCGATTATTCGAGGGACGGCTGTTATTCGAGGACTGTTTTGTTTCGGAGTCATGGTTGAGTGTGATAATCTTGTCACATTCGAATTGCCCAGAGGGCTATATTATGGTGAGGTGTTGCTCTTATTTGTCGGAATGATTGGAAGGGTAAAGCGTTGAATGTCACTGTTAGCTTGGTCTTTGAGTCTTTAGTTGAAGACCATGTCGCTTTGTATACAAGATGACCTCGTATAGCAGACGAAAATTCGCCTTCATAAACAAGCTTCGAACTACAAAACAAGGGATTGTCAGGATAAGCCATGATGGTACACGTTTGCTAATTCTTGCTCATAAGGTGCCCTGCCCCTGTTTTATGGTTCGAGAGTTTTTCTTCGCGACATAAAAGAAATAGACGCTCTGTCTCGAATTAGCGCCCTCAATTGAGAAACCATAAATATGTAAGGGCTCCGGGCACTAAATCGAGTCATTACGCTAAATAATTTAATGGCAATGTCTTTTGTTTAAATTATCCTGTAGTCTGTTTCCTCCTCTCTAAGCGTTATGCTTTTGAAGTGGCGGGAAGGTTTGGTTGCCTTAGTGATCCTGAAGGCTACGTGCTGGGCACGATTCAGGTGAAAGGCAAGACAACTGGCCGTCCATGTGGGGGGAAGGGGGTGTTAGGCAATTCACTTACACTATTGCCGTGCATGCTGACAGGGAAAACAACAAAAACTAACTTGCAAAACAAACCTAAGTGAAGCTAAGTGTGACTTATAACTTTGTTAAATGGTATGACAAATTTCAGACCAGTTATAGTTAAGATCACGAGAAGCGCTTTCTCAGGCTTAAACACAGCAAACCAAGTCACCTTTTCTAATTTGAAACTTGAACACCGAGCTTACTGAACAGCTCAAAACTCTTCGTCCTTAATGGTCTGTTTATTGTTCTGTAACAATAATTTTTTTATTTAATACACATTGTGTTCAGCGACCAAACTTCCATAATTATAACATGATAATACTAGTAATAGTTGACACTACAGCTGCCCCCGTTCTGAGCTCCCGTTCTGTATATTGTCGGTCAATAGCATTCTTGCTCGTTGTGTAGCTCTTTGAAATATACCGCTTCATAATGAAGATTTTCACACATATTCCATACAATAGGTGAGATAAATACAAGAAACGCAAGGTTCCATGCAGTTTCAGCTCGATTTACACAGCTTTGATCAAAACATTCTCAGTTTCGAGAATAGTTTATTCTAAACCATAAGAAAAGATTTAATTAGAAGTTGAATTTNCGTGGTACCGTTCGCGATAGCCGAATTCGGTCAGAAATGTCTTGAAGTAGCATCCACACTAAAATATGAACCCTTAAACAGCTGCATCACTGTACACAGTGTTTGAATCATGAAGATATTTAATATAATGTTTCCAAACACCTGTAGCCGTAATAAAAGACGAACAAATTGTAAAGAATCAAGATGGCGGTCTTAAAGTGCCCTTGTTCGACCTTTAGCAATGTGATTTTTAAGTAGATGCCAAGATCTCATTGGTTCCTTAGCATCAACTCATAGTATCTTCAAACTTATTGGCTCTTGCAACAAACATCCGAACATACAAAGTTACAAAGATACAAAGATACAAAGATACAAAGTTACAAAGATACAAAGCCACAAAGATACATACGCTCACACCACTGACATATGAGCTATTTTTTCAAAATAGCTCAAAAAATGGATGAAAATTGATGAAAATTGATACTCACAACTCTTTCGATCTTCCATATTTATCGATTACCGATATCAATCGCTTAATTACTATCGTTTAAAATCAGAAACTCATAGAATCCATCATCTCAAGTTTCATCGATTTGGCATGGCGGGTTAAACCCACGCTTACGAAAATTATTGCTGTTTTGCTGTTACATTTTGAAAAAGGATTACAACATTACTTCCTATCCTCTTACTCTTTAGAGTCACTATTCAACTGCATACATAAAATAGCGAGAATCATTAAAAGAAAACAAATTCAAAGCGCTTCGTCTCCTAACATTTTTGAATGTGGCGCGCTTTTTAAATTTGAATTCTCTGAGTTCTTCCGAGCTATATTTAAAAGTGAAAACAGCTAGTAATCGTCGGGATGTCAACAAACACCTAGAAAAAATGTTCCGCTCAGCAGCAAATCGACCACAGTGAAAACATAGCCTCCCCAGCAGGCGTTTCTTGGGGAGCTCGTATTTCTTACCTCCCCGACGAAATATTAGGCTGCGAACAGCAGACGTATTTCCGGTCGTGGCTTCCCTTCCTCCGATAACCTGAGATCAGGCGTTATTTTTTTTTTCTTTTGCTTCTTTGTTTCTTTGGCTCGAGAGGGAAAAAAAATAACGCCCTCTTCCCGTGAGAGACATAAAGGGATAATAGGGAGAGGGCATGATCTCAGGCTATCCCTCCTAAAAATAAAGAAGCGACGACCGGAAATAGGTCTGCTGTTCGCAGGCAACCAGGCGTTTTTAGGGGAGCTCGTATTTCTTTAGCCTGCGAACAGCAGACGTATTTCCGGTCGTTGCTTCTCTCCCTCCGAAAGTTCGTGAAAACACAACCGGTGAGTCATTTAGTATAAGGGTGTAATGGAATACAATGTTTGGTGTACATTACTCTTAGATATTACCCTACCCTGGATAATAGCTATTTTTCACAGCTGATTTGAAATTTTAAAACAGACGAATTAATTAAAATGAATTAATACGTACAAGAAACTTACCATTGATTTTAAAAGTACAGTTTGTAGCATATCTTAATGATTTATCAAACCCTCAAATTCGCGAAACCCCCGATAACTGAAAAAAAATGACTTCCCTTTCCCAGGCAAATAGTGGAATTTTATCTCAGTTTCTTTCGAACTTCCTAATAACTACAATAGCCACTGTGCTTACCTTCAACACCATATACACTTACTCCTTTCTTCCTTAACTTCAAGGTACGTCTTATTGCGTCAACAGTTAAAGGATTACGACCCACTCTAAGCTTCCACAGCTCCCTGAGGTCACCAATCTCAGCAGGTAGTTCAGTTAGTTTATTTCCACTCAAGTCCAGCCATTTAAGCTTGGTCAGCCTCTGTATACTGGTGGGGAAACCAGCCAACTGGTTGTTACGCACACTCAGCTCCCTCAGCTCCCTGAGGTCACTAATCTCAGCAGGTAGTACAGTTAGTTTATTTTCACTCAAGTTCAGCAATAGAAGCTTGGTCAGCCTCTGTATACTGGTAGGTAA